TCGTACTTGACATGACTATCCATAAGGACCACAAAGCGATGTTGCGCTTTTTTCGCGTCGAACGTTGGTCGGCCAAACTCCTCATGGTCAGCAAGCGGTTGAGCTACGTTCGCCCAGGCTTTCATGACTTCTCCTTTTTTCGCTTCGAAAGGTCTGAAGACATTGACCTGACGAAGCAGCATGAGATCTTCCTTCTCGGTGTACAAGCGGCGACGACTTGGTGTGTCCATGGTCCAACCTTTCAAAAACTGCACATCCGACAAGCGCTCTGCCAAACATGGAAGCTGTTTGGCAGAGCGGTTGAAGATTGTGCGGTTCTCGATTGGATGGAACATGGAACTATGGTCCAATCGTAGCCGCCTCTGCCCCGACCGGAATGGATTGGCATTCCGTGAGATTGGCCAATCTCATGGAATGCCAATCAACTTTGACAGGATCCATTCACGTTCCATAACAATTCTTGCAGGTGACCTTCCGGTTTTGTCACTTGAGCGGAGTGGATCCCGGAATGGACTGTTGCAAAACCTCTCTATTGTCTTGTTGGAACGTGAAGTCGAAGCCACAATGCTGATGAGCAAACGGCAACATGTAGTCGGAGAGTCTTACTGTGTACTCGTAGCTTCTTTGCTTGACTTCGAGAATCTTCAGTTCGGAAAGCCCCTCGACAAGAATGTCCCCCAAACCATGACGGACCCCCACCGAATTGACGGCGGGAAAAGACTTGCTACTCATGATCCAAGTGATGCCAGTAGCATTGTCAGCCATCAGGACCATCAAGTTCAAACTTCTTCTCATCGAAAGAAGATGACAGAATCCCAATCTTAATGATTCGTGATGGCTTGCGATGCAAACTGGATTCTTGCATCACGGTGGGCCTTGATCAACAGTGGCTGCCCCAATCGCTTCTTGAATTGGAATTTTGGATGGGATTGGAGGAGTGCTTGAACATATCGCAAGGAAATAGGAAGACCCAGGCAGGTTTTGAGCTTGCGGCAAGACATCTTGCCCTTTGCAGCTTCACAAAAAAGCAGCCGCGAGGCAGTTGAGGACAGTTTGCTTGATCTTCCCGTTGTCTTTGCTTTCCCGTAACCACTCAAATTCGCCAGGTAGTTTCGGACCACCGGGCGGGAGCGACCAATCTCGTTACCAATGGCACCAGGGGTCCAACCAGCAGTGTGGAATGCCAGTATTTGAGCTTGCTCGACCTCAGTGAGTTTTGACGCCAGTCCCATCAAACGTTTGGCTGATGAGTGTCTTCTGGGCACTTGGGAGCCCTTGGACAGTCGAGGCAGGTATGTAGAAAGTTGCTAAATGCTTATCTTCTCTTATCAACTCCTGTTTTAGGCAAAGTGAAGGAAGTGGCCTATCATTTTTTC